CATTTGTCTCAAGGTTGATTTACTGCTAGTTAATGGTAGAGGTGTGTCTTATTCTGAGATTCTATGATGTGACATTTTTATGATGTTTAGATTTTTGTGTTTCATTGTTTATGTTATTTTAGTGTTTGACTGGTTTTATGGTATCTTGAGCCTCCTCAATACTTTTTTTTATAATTTTTATTAAAGAGGTTTTCAGCAGAATAAGAACAGTATAAATTTAAAGTTGAAAGTAAGAAGAATAAAGAAAAGTGAAAAGTGAAAAAGAAAAAGAGAGAAGTAGAGAAGAAAAGGACAAAGAAAAAAAAAGTTACAAAGAAGTGGTTTCTGATCTTAACAGCAGTTATAAATGCATTTATATTTTACCCTCTCTCTGTAAAGTTATATCATAATTTTCTTCTTTCTACAATCTACACTTTCTAATCATCAAATCCAAAAATCACAAGTTCATTTTTTTCTTTTTTCAGAAAAAAGTCCATAAGCGGTTTCCAGTCACTAATAAATATAGTAGTTGATCTTTCTCTAAGCAAACAAATTAATTTTGCCATCTCTCCTAGTTCTATCATCTTCACCAACCATTCCTTCATTGTGGGTATTTCAAAGTCATCCTTTTTTGTGCATATAATAGTCTTGCAGCAGTAATCATATATAAGAATAGTCCTCTCTGGCTCTTTTCTAATTGTCTGTCCATTAATCCCAGCAAAAAAAGTTCTGGTTTCACTTGAATATTAATTTTTAAAATTCTTTGTATCTTTGTGTGTATTTGAACCCAAAATTTTCTGGCTTCTAATATAAAGATTCTTAAAATCTTCATTAGCCTGAACTTTATTATACCATAAGAAACCATGCCATCCAAACCTCAGATCATGCGCTTCTAGTTCTAAAATTTTCTTATTTCTCAGCAGAACCTATTCTTTCATCCAAACCAAGCAGCAGGCTGCAAAATACAATATCAAGTCAGGCAATCTTAATCCTCCTTGTTCCTTTGCATCTTGGAGAACTTCCTCAGTTCTTGAATGGAACTGGCACGCAAACTATAAAAAGTAAATAGGAGTTATAGGATTGCATCTATTAACCTTTTGTTATCCTGATAGACTGATAAAGAATAGCTTTAGCTTTATTATCCTAAAATAGATCACCAATAGCATTGCATATATACACATACACAAAGTTCAGTATTTTGAAGCACTGTTATTATGGAGCCCTTCCATGCTAGATGTATTTTAATATTTGCTTCTTTATAATTCAAACCAATCAGTCACAATGCATGTCATAATAAAATAGTGTATCTTCAGTATTACAAATTAAAATATTGACTTTCTGTAACTCAGTTTATTTTGAATTGCAAATCTATCAAAGTTCAGCTTGACCATACTTTTTTTGAGAGTAAAACTCAAAATACTGTTCATTCTTTATTTTCCTAAAGTTAGTGAAAAGCATCTTACGGAGAGTTTATTGAACATTTTCTTTTCTAACTGCAAATTGTACATACTAAGTGCACACTGATATGCAATCTTGGGTCAAGTTATCAGTCTCACTAAGTTCAGAAGTATTTGCTGATGCATCTATGAATGAATGCATTTTATTTTTGTAATACTTCGTTGCAAAATATAGGGCAATGATAGATTTCAAAAGGCTAAATTGGCAGATGATAGTCAGGCATCTTCCTCTTCCAGCATCTTTTGGCTGGAGATGTGAAGGCCTGAAAAGAATCAAGTTCTTTCCAGAGTAAGGAAAGACTGGAGAAAAAAACACACAACTCATCTCCTGTCTGCTACAAAGAGATTGTGTCAAGCTCCAGTCAGATTCTGTTAAGTTCTTCCTGGAAATAAGCAAGTACTGGTGAATCCCCATTGAGTCCAAGATTTGATATTGAAGTTGCATACCTCTTTTTGCTTACAGTTCTCCAAAGGATTTATATATGGTGCTCCTAACAGAACTGGATTCAGTGTTTCCAGGGGTGTTTGTCTAAGAAGGAAGAGCACAGAAAACAGGAATACTTTATTACAGAGTAGAAAATACATTCTCTAGATATATAATCATATAAACATACGTAGAGTTCCTGAAAAACAAACTATCAAATATAAGCTGATATATTCAGAAGGGAGATACTAAAACTAGAAAAATGTTTATTTCACAGTCTTTTGCATATAATCTTACACTCTTGTACTGTGTTAGTAGACTGTGGATAGAGGTACATTTTCCTAATGCTCCACTGCATAGTGAGTTTAAGGGGCAGCTACGTATGGTGCAGAGAGAGGACCCACATCTACAACTTGATTGTGGATTCACCATGCATCATCCACCTTGTTGTGAAAGATGTGACAATCACAACTTTGGAAATCAAAGCATAGATAAATTAGGAAAAAGAAATAATGAAATACAGAAAATGGGGTGGGGTTCAGTAAGAATGTAAGTAATTCAAAACTCATCTGAGTCATTTTACAGCTGTTACTAAGATGTCAATTATTTTCTTCAGTGTCTCTAATGTATTACTCCTGGTTGTTACATTAAATGAGGTTTCTATGGCAGTTCATGTGGATAATGCTAACCTGAACAGTTTAGCTGTTCAGTTTACACTGAAAAATACATTCCTTCTGTCTCTTCTAGAAACTCAACGAACAATTTAATCTTAAAGGCTAAATCATTTGATACAATTTCAAAATATATTTCTACATCATACATGCATTGTCAACGTTTCTATATCTTCCATTCTAGCTTACTTTAATTCTCATCCTTTCAAAAGCTTGACAAATAGTTGATGAGAATTCTTTCCTCTTATCAGGTAATTCTCTGACGAAGAGGAAGGTTGCTGGAAAATTGAAAGGCAAAAGGGAAAAAAAACTATCAGACAGTGAGGAGAGTTGTATTTATATCCTTACAACATTCCACTTGGAAGGAGGAAGCTGGGTTAATTAGATGCAGTATTTTATGATCAACAGGGTGATACACATGAGGAAACATGTTGCTCATCAAACTTTGATGTGGTTTTATATTTTCATAATGAGCTAAATATAAATACCATGGTTTACTTTAAAAAATTTGGATATTCATAATTGGATGAACCTGCCCAGATTATCTCCAACCAAGGTACACTTCACTGAAAAAAAAAATATTATGTGAAATCCATTCAAATTATGCAACTACATTTCTAGAAAATTGCCCTGCTAATGTTTCTTAGTATGCTACCTGCTTGTGTCAGTGTTATTTTGCAATTGCAAAATAATCCTATTGGAGATTTAGGTTAATTGCTCACATTATCACTGGGTAAACCTTGTCTTTTTAATTGACTCTATGTGCATGGTATCATTTTTTTCAGAATCTGAATTAAAAGTATAGATTTCTTCATTAAGTACAAAGTCAATTTGATAAAGAAGTATTTAATAAAACAGAGGTATTTTTAAATTCAAAATTTATTCCTATTTAAGGGAGGGCCAAATCACCGTCATATAGTTTAGTGCAAATATTAAGAAAGGTAGTTTGTATTTATAGCTCTCAAACATTTAAAACAGTTAAAATAAATATATTAGAACAAATTTATGGTATATATAAGTCAAGCTGTTGAGATGAAATGTGTGAGGTCTTTGTGTCCATAATTGGTTTTTCTAAGAGTTATTTTGGTATTTTCATAGAATTTTCTTTCAATATTGCAGTTTCAGTCATGTAGAGATAGTTGGTGTTGAGGTGAGAATTAACACTTCAGTTTACTGCTAAAACTGAGTTACATTTATTGAGTTACAGCTTAAAGTTAAAGATAGGGGAAAAAATCAGAAGAATAGCAATTTCTTAACTCATTGTACGTTGAATTAATGAGTTTAGTACAAATTTATGTATTTAAAAGAAAATCCTATTGAGTATATTCCCAGAAGAAGAGTTTCAGAATGGAATCTATATCTGTCTTACACATCTATGCTATGCCTTTAAAACCAAAAATAGGTTAGCAGTGCAAATATTATCTAAGATTAATTTTAATTAGTAGGATTAGTTCATATTAAAAAAAAGTGTGTTATTATGTTGTAGGCTGAGTTAAAAAGAAAAAGGTATCTTATGGATCCAAGTTGGGGATTATATATAATTTTACAAAATATACACCAACCAATCCTCTAATCACATTATACTTATGATACTGTAAATTTCAGAGATTTATAAATATAAATATTTATACAAGTCACATTCTAACACCCTGGTTTGATGCACACATCATACTACATTACATTCAAAAAGTACATTTTGTCTTAGCATATTGTATGACCCCAGCTATTTTAGTAATCTGGGGTTCCATTTATAATGGACCCAACGATGAAGAGTTCATTCTTAACACTCTGCCCTGTAGCTCCTGCCAGCATATTTCTAGCAAGAGACACCTACAAATAAATGCAAGTTTTATTTCACTGTTCAAATATGTTCCATTCAAACATGCCAACATTAAATGAATATTCTTTTTTTAAAATCCTACCAAAATAGCAAATGTTTACGTTATTCTATGTGTGTATATGTGTATAGAAACACAAATCTGAAAACCATGAGATAAAGCAGTTATTTAAAAAATAACCTTAACTATCAGCCTCTGTAGTTTGGCAAAAATTACTTCCATGTGCTCCAGGATAATGATAACTAAATTGTCAAATGACTCTGAACAAAACCCCCTAATCTCTACCACACATAAGAATTCAAATGGGTGGCAGGAAATAACACTCATTAATACAAATGATCAAGCAAAACTTACTAAGTAAACTGAACATTTGTATATTTCATTTCTCCAGACATAATCCATAGGGAAGTGTTAAGCCATAATGATAGGGTAACATACGTTAATTAAAAATGGTTCTGAAGATATGATCTGTGCAGTAAATGTTGCTGTTACTGATAGAGTGTGACTCTTTGAGGTTGAATGTTGGTGTGAAAAGAAGGGGGCAGGGTCACCCAGCCTTCAACAATCAATCCTTTGTTTCTTTTCTCTTTTTTAATTATTGTCTTATTTGGTAATTTATTCCACATTTTAGGCATAGGACTAGGACTTGCTGTTCGGGAATATGGAAAGCTCTCCAATCTGGACAAATTTTACTTTGCATTTCCTGGAGAAGTTCTGATGAGAATGCTCAAACTCATCATATTGCCATTGATTATATCAAGCATGATAACAGGTAAGAAAAAAGGGTGTTTGAATTTGTCTTTTTCTTCTTAACAGAGATAAAAACCATTTAGTTAAAAATAATATTACATATTTAGACCTTATTCCAATCTTATACTGAATCTACTTAAGTAAATGTTTACCACTGATCAAACAACTTTATAAGGATGAATTTTGTACAGCAGAATATTAGAAAAATCAAAGGCTTTCAACGACAAGTAAATAATTCCTAAATAAGCCCAAACAGAATCTTAGTCCAGAGGGCTTAAAAAGCATATTTCTGCTTTTTAAAAATATTTTGCTAAATGAGTCATAGCACTATTGCTTTTCTTATATTTTTAAAACAAGTTTCTAATATATTTTGTTAATTTGTTAAAGAAACAGCAGATTTTATGAGAATGGGATGCTTGAGAAACTATTGTTTCTCTCTTTGTTGCTGTTTCCAATAAAATGGGGTTCAGCCATCAACAGCTGAAAATAAATACTCAATGTAGAATAAAATCTGAATTCTCTTCCCAAAATACTCAAAATATAAACAGCTTAAAAGAGACACTCAGTGATAGAAATACACCCACACACTGAATAATGCTAGTCCTGGAGTCCTGGTTATTTTAGCAGGGACTCTAAAGTTAGAATAGGTTTAAACAATTAAGGCTTATATTCACAGTTTAACTTCCTCCTCCCTTCCAGTCAAGAAAGAATTTGATAGGTAAGTGTATGAGATGAAGGAAAGATATACAAACTTGGTGGGTTTTTATTGGTCTCACATGAATAATAGATTGTACCTTTTTATTTTAATGGGTTGATCTCAAGTAAAACACTTTCTGAACTCAATTGGGAGTGCAGTGTGATAAATCATAACAGGGTTTCTTGCAATCCGAAAATTTCAGTATTTTACTTTACAGTTGCATTAAACCTTCCTCTAATTTTACTGCTAACCCCAAGAGAGGGAGTAATCTCTATGTCAGGCCTGGGGATCCCAGGGAACTGGAAATGTTCTTAGATGGCACCATGGTGGTTGATCTTGTACTCTCTCCTTGTTTGTATATTTTAATGTTTTATAGTGTTTTTTTCCATTTTTAATAATGAGTTTTATATTTTATAATGATTGTTTTTTATATATTTGTTGTTTTTATTGATTGTTGTACACCACCCAGATTTGCTTCTTGTGAAACGGGCGGACATATAAATGTGATTTAATAAATAAATAAAATAAAATAAAACCCAGTACGTCGGAGTGGGCAGCCAGTGGCCTTTGTTTTTTGTGGCCCTGGAGATTCTTATATCCACTATTGCTGAGGATTGGTGGCAGAATTTCACATCACTTTGAGGCAAAAAACACATTAAAAGTGTACATCCTACAATAGATTTAATGGAGCTTTTTAAAAAAATCTAGTTAGAACTTACCCAAAAGCAAGGAACTAAAACTCTGAAATATTAGACTTGCTGGATTCTGAGAAGCTCCTACAGCTTTGCTATCGTTTAGCCAGTACTATAATAAATTCCATGCAAGAAATTTCAGTTTATGAAAATGCAGATGTAAGAGAAAGAAATAAGGTAATATGTAGACCTTTTGATTAAAAGCAAATGATGTTTGGGAGCAACATAACTGAAAATTATATGACTTGCAATATATTGCTAATCACAAAGAAGAGGGAGTGGACTTATTCTCTATTATCCTAGCGGATAGGAGCACATTTGTTTTTGTGGTTGTCGTTATAAGATTTAAGCACTGCTAGATTCCATTAGGGCTCTAGGCAGTTCACAATATAAAACAAGCAACAATTTGAAAAATATAAAATATTAATGGGACTCAGTGGGTTAAAACTAAGTAGATTCTAGCAGGAGCAACTTTCCATCAGCAAAAGAACAGGCTGCCACATGAAGTGATAATTACCTCACTGGAGGTCTTCAGAGGCAGAATGATCATCTGTCAGAGGTTGTCTGGTGAGTCCTGCACTTAGCAGGGGGATGGACTAGGTGAATTCTAAGGTCATCTCCAACTCCACAATCCTGTGAACGGATAAATGGATAGTAACTTATACTAATCCCACAAGAACTGCAACTGGGTGGGGGAACCATATATAAAGATCTGATTAGAAAGGAAAAAAAGGAAGCAGAAAAACTATACTGTATAGCAAGGTTGATTCAGGCCATGCATTCTAGTGATTCTAGAGTTGGGAAATCGCAGAGTAATGTATTACGGCCTGATGGTAATTAACAATGGTTACTTGGGGAGTATAATTGTGTCCCCTTTTTGCAAGTGTTAAATAGAACTAAATCATTCAAATAAATGTGAATGATGGAAGAAAGCAATCTATTAATACAAGATTGCCATGGTAGGAATTAGAGAAAGTCATGATATCAGTATAATATTATATCTAAGTCTTTAAAAGAGTATTTATGCTGACCCACTTCTGCACCTTTCCATTGGCACCACTAGAAGGAATGTTTGGTAAATTATATCTATCTATTGGCAGCCAGGTATGGTGGTTTATCATGAATTTCAACCTACTGTTTTGTAGGCGCTCTTCTTTATCAAATCTAATCTGTTAAATCAATTATTTACTTCTACTGCATAATCATATAGAATATTGCTGAGATTGTAACTGGTTGTTTGTCTGATGATTTTATTCATTTTCTTTAAGTTGTAAAGAGTTTTGATCTGAGCTGCAATAAGCACCAATTCTTGTTTTCGCTGATTGAATATTTTCAACTGTGTTTGCAGAGTACATGGTCAGTTTAATGTTGGCATTGTCCATCCAGTGATGCTCATGTATAGAGTTGTCTTTTAGGCTGTTGGAAGAAGGTATATGCTATAAACACTGAATCTTCTTGGCAGATTAGTCTGTCTCCTCTTTGTTCTGTAGACTGAGAGCAAATTTTTCTATTATTCCAGTTGTTAATGCTTCCATCATTAACATTACAGTGCTATATGTTTAGTATTACATTTTTGGGGGGAGATGTGTTGACCACTCACTGAAGTCCAACTTTAATTCAACTTTTGGTTCCTCTGTGGAACTTGGAATTGGATCACCATTATATTGGTTGCCTTGCCTTAGACTTTGAGTTCATTGTATCATTTCTGGGGTTGTATCAGAGCACTAATTTTGATACCCTTTTGTTAATAATGATGGTTACTCCATTTCTTCTGTGATTTTCTTGCCTGCGATAGAAGATCTGATGTTCCTCTCGTATAAAATGGTCCATTCCAGTCCATTGCAGTTTGCTGAATACTAGAATATCAATTTATTTGTTTGTTTGTTTCAGTATTTAATCTTGACATTTCTACTGTGACAACTTCAAGTTTGCTTTAGTTCATGGTTCTGATATTCTACATACCAATGCAGCATTGAACTTTCCCTTTGTCTCTGGGCACATCAGCAGCTGGGCATCCTTTTGGCTTTGATCCAGCCACACCATACTCATTCTTGCTTGTTGCTTTTCTCCAGTATTTTGTTGGATACCTCTGATCTGGGGGGTGGGGGAAGGGTGGGGGGGTCATCTTCTAGTATCATGCTGATATTATCCTGGTTCTAAATGCCCAGTTAGAGTTCTTGACAGAATATTGGAGCTGTTTCCTTCTCTCCCTGCCCCCACTTACATATGCAGAGAGCTTCTACAGTTTGGGTGTTACAAAAATGGTTGCTTGCAAAACTGTATCAGGCCCTCATCACAGCTTTCAGTGAACATATAACAGCTTCGCAGCCAAGGAGTTTTGCCTTCATACCAATAACACAGATAAACACATATAGCATGTAGTAAAATGGGGTGGGGATGAGACATTGCAATTTAGTACTTCCCTTTTTCTCTGGAGGGGGAGGTGAGGGAATTTTTGTTACTCCGGGAGTCATTGCAATTCAGTCGGTGAGGACTGACTGAAGATTTTTTATACTTCCCTGCTAGTCAGATGGAAGGAGCACATGCTGGCTTTCAGCATTCCAAGGTTGCCAGAGGTGAAGACAATCACAAGGGCCGCTTCAAACCGCTTTGGAGAGATTAAGAATAGAATCAGTGCTGTCTGGAGGTGGCCTTTGTCTAAAGTATCAGTGGGCAACCCATGACTTAAGGAATCCTGACTGCTTTTCTGCCAGAACAGATTGCTTTTTTCTGCTAATGTAACTGGGGAAAAAGTCATGTTAATCAGGGTCACCGGGAGGAAGGGGAAAGGGTCTGCCTCCCCAGTGGTCCTGCTCAAAATTCCTGGCTTCCTAAGCAGGAAATGAGAAGTCTACAGGCCAGGTTACTGTAAGAAGAGAAGGATCTTCATTGCTTTCCTCTGTTTTTTTTCCAAGATTGCAAGTTTCCTGCTTCTATTAGCAGCAGGACATGGGAAGGGAATGTGTGAGGAATATGGATATATATGGCTACATGTGGATGAGTGTACATCCTGTGATCTAATGCAGCCACTGGGACACATATTTAGTTTTTAGATGTTTTTAAAAGGTAAGTATTGTATTTTGGAAAAATATTGTGGAAAAACATTAATGTTTTCTTTATTTTTTAAAAAAGAGGAAAACAACTATCTTAGAAAAATTATTCATTATATTTTACTAGCCACATTCATCTTCAAGAGACACAAAAAGAGTCCTTCAGATTTATTAATGCTTGATCTTCAGTTTCTCACATTTAGACACTGATTTTTTTTATCTTCATGAAATCCTCTTGTTTAATATATAATTTTCTTTAAAATTGCTATCTCTTTTTACCTCTATAATTTGCATAATATAATCCTGATGCTAATATTGTGACTAACATAATTCCCAAATAGCACTACTTGATACAGTGTTAAAATCAGAGAGTAGTGAAAACTCCATTCTAAGTTTGTTGACCCTTCAAAATCCCTTTGCTGTGGGACATTTCCATCAGCTGAAGTCACTTGGCTAAGTCCCTGCGTATATTTAAAACCCACTCACTTTTAAAGTTCTGGCCAGGTTACTGTAATGTTATCAAATATTTATTTCATTTTTTTTAATAGATAACAGTTCATCACAGTCTAATCTCTGAAAGACC